TGAGAGCCCGGCTCCCGCAGCTCCCGAAAGGCCACGTGGAGATCTGCCTTAGCTACTGCTAGCACGAGGGCATTTATCCTCATCACTGGGCCTGGTTATTGGTGGTGATGACGATACATACAGAGGAAGGAGACTGGTCCAGGCATGAAAAACAGCAATGAAAAAGGCAGGCGGGCATCTGCCAATATTATAGGGTTGTTACAGACCAAGCCCTGGGGCTGAGGGCTGAGTCTCCAACCCTGCACCTCCTCTTTGCCCCGAAGTTTCCAAGCACCAAAGCTCTTACAAGCTGCGACTCACATTGCCACATTCCCCCCCGACTTCTACTTCATTCCCTGGGGATGCCCCCGGACCGCCCGAGCCGGTGAGCACGAAGCTAGCACAAAGGAGACCTTCTTTGCTGTGCAATTGCCCAGCACATCGTGAGCAGTTCCTGAGGACACACTGAACAGCTGACCTGGAGCAGGGGGTTGTTCTGAAGCTTGTTTTTTTGTCCTGAAAATCCCGAGCCGGTCATGGGCATGCTCTGTGGCTAAGGGAGACGGGGAGGGCTGGAGCAGAGGAGACCCCGCTGCACTGATGGGGTTTCCCATGGTTGCCTGTGATTGCAGGTGCCCGGTTTCTGTAAGCCAGAGGCTCCATGCTGATGCCTGCTTGCTCGCCCACGTACCCCCGCTGCAGAAGTTGCCCCTTACGCTCGCTGCCGATTGCCTTCACCACCGACTCCTGCAAAGGATGAATTCAGTGGCGAGGCATTGGCTGCAGTAAGGGGGAGCATGAGAGAGCAGGGAGTGCTGGGGCAAACTGCATCACGGTGGAAACCTGGGGCACCCTGTCTATGTTGGCACCCAGAGCTGATGCCCCATCACCCCTCATCCCAGCTACACGAGAGACGCAGCGATCGGCCAACTAGCACACAACAAGCCCGCGGGGGATCGGGGAATCCTGCTCTCCAGCTGATGCCCAAACCCACGAGCACCTTTGCTCATCAGCACCTGAACTCCGACCCGTTCGAGACCTTCCTCCTTAGCCGCCTCGCCTGGATTACAACTGCTCAAGTGACAACCTTCAGGACCGCCTATTAATAGCACCCCCCCGGCAGGAGCCATACAAACGTCTATAATAATCAAGCATACGATGTTTATTTCTGGACATAATGTTCCTCTTCCCGGGCGTGCGGAGACTCAGGCATGCCGCGTTGCCTAGGTTTTCCTGGCCCTGTACTCTCTGTACCGCGGAAATGATTAACAAGAGAGCTGAAAGGCTGATGCCGGGGCAGGGACTTCGGTGTCGCCGGGCGACACGTAACACAGCGGCTCCGTCCCTGGGGCGCCGAGCGGAGCCACGTGGGGAAATATTATGGTGGCCTTCCCTTATACTCGGGCTTTGCTTCGTATCCAGCCTGCAATATCCAAGCAGCCCATGCAAACAGTGGTACAATCACCTACCCTGGCAATCTTCAGAAAGCGTCTTGACGCCCACCTTGCTGGGATCGTCTGGCCCCAGCGGTCTGTCCTGCACAAGTGCAGGGGGCTGGACCCGATGATCTGTAACGTCCCTTTCAGCCCCTAACAATGATGAAACCTCGAGCGCAGGGGTGGACGCTCTAGTGTCACATTTTGCATCGGGGCAGTATGAATGACTCAGGTGCAAAGAGCGGCTTCATCTGTCTGCAGGAGGGGTTTGCATTGCACAGCAGTGACCAGCTGCACCTGGTAACTGGGGCGAGACATGGCCTTGCCCTCTTTTACTTGGCTTTTCTTCCAAGAGCAAGAAAGCAATGGAGGGCACAACTCGGGTGGGCCCAAAATATCACCTTTTATATGCCGAGAGTCCTCGATGGGGAGAAACAGGATGACGGCTGCTGTGCCCCGCTATCAGCCCTGGGATGGTCATGCCAATAAGGGGACCATGGTTATGAAATCTCTACGGGACTCCCCGTGCGGAAGAGGGCTCAGGGCACCTTTGTGGTTCAGAGACGGGTCCTGAGACTCCCTCTCTGGGCAGAAACCCCCTGCCATGCAAAGTGACAGCACGCCCCCGTCTATGCCCCACGCAACCCAGACTAGACCCCCGATGCAGACACGCTCTGCTCTCACCGGCGGTCATGCATCCGGGGCCAAATGAAGCGGCGTTCACTGAGCCGAGACAAGAGGCTGCCTGCCGGGGGGACAGAGAAAAAAGTCCTTAGCAAGATGATTTTCTAGCGAACGGCACGCTCTCAGACCTCTTGCGGCAGGACCCCAGCAGCCTCCACCACACGTGGACACAAACTAGAGATAAAAGCCAGAGGTGCAGGGAAGCGGAGGAGGGAAGGGCTTCCTGCCAGCGGGGCAGGAAAGAAATCAGCCCATCCTACAGTCTGCTGGAAACAGACGGACGGTTCCTGCCAAGAAGCAAAGCCGGAACAGGGCATGCGATGCCCGGAAGAAAGGAGACGAGTGTGGAAACAAGCCGCCCCGCGTGTGCCAGGTCTGACACGGTAGAGCAGAGGCCGCATACAGGTCATGGGATCCAGGTTTGCACCGGAAGATGAGCTTATCACTAAGCTTAGGGATTCAGAGATCTGGTTTCGGGTCCTAGCTCTGCCACTGGCTCCCTGTATGACCTTGGGCGAGTCACTGAGCCCCAATTCCACATCTGTAAGGTGTGGGGTGACAAGCCTTCCTTTGTCTGCATTTCCTATTTAGACCAGGGGTCTCAAACCGATGGCCTGCAGGCCAGATTCAGACGCTACCGAGGAGCGAGGGGAGCCTATTTTGAAGGCATTCTTTCTTTAATTGCTTAAAGGAGCCACTTGTAGATCCGAAGTGACCCAAGTCCTGGGGGCTTGATTTCTGTCCCTGGCAGATAAACGCACCATCAAGCCAGGCACATTTTTCTGCCTGCCTAAACGATGTCCCCGAGAAGTATGGAAATACTTGGCTCAGTTTAGCTCCCTGAGCTCAGCTCCGTGAACTACTCTCCCTACCACGGCTGGGAAAGCCAAGCCCCGGCCCGGACACTGGATACACCGGTGTGCTCATTGAGTCGCTTGTAAGAGCGACTGACACGGTTGTCAGAAAAACACGTCCGCACTGTTTTGGTCCAGCGCGGCCGTTGGTTCAGGCTTGCCAGGTGCAGAGTGCCGTTAGCAGGAAGGGATCCGGCCAAACGGGGGTGCGAAGGATACAGGAGCATGGCTGCACTAATGAACAGTAGGAGAACAGCGAGGGCAAAACACCTAAAGCGTCCAAGGGAAACTCACCTCCCGAGGTATGAACTTGGGAGTGAATTCACCTTGTTTTAAACATCTCGCAGTCCGTAGCCCACCTGCTCAGCGCAGCGCAGCGCTTGCCTGACAAAACACCTGATGCTCTCTCCTGTGTCTGCCTCTCGACAGCTCTCGTGTAGCTCGTCAGGCACGTAAAAAAAATAAATCCTTGATTGAGCAGCCGGAGGAGGAATTGTCATGCGTTATTTCTTTGAAACGTTTCCAGGCATGCATCCTCGCTCTCACCTGCTCGCGCCCTCCCTATGCTCTTCCCGAGTCAATCGCACAATCTCCTTGATCTCGCACGGACAGGACCCCCCCGCCCCGTATCTTTGGGCACACGGAGGGAAGAGCTGTGCTAAAAAAAGGGGGAGGGAGCACCTCAGAAGCAATTTGCAAGGATATGCTCCCTTGCAAACAGCAGGGCCCATTCAAGCACGGGCAGACCCCCCGGAGAAGGGAAGCAGGGCAGAGAACCGAAGCCCAGACCCTAAAGCCAGACACATGGAGTGTGTAAGCAATGACACACTCATTGACGGAGGAGGAAGGCTGTGCCGGGGGTGACGTCACAGGCAGTCATCACACTTTGAACCGGGATGGCTGCAGCGCGGTTATGGCCAGGGCTGGGAGAGTTCGGGGGGGGTGAGCCTGACCCTGCCACCGACTCACTCGGTGGCCATGGGGCACTCACACCACTCGCCCATCGGGAGAGGGTGGAGAATGCGACTCACGCCCAGCCTGGCCTTCCCAAGCAAGAGGCAAAGTCATACCCCTGCGGCCCCCCGTCCACCCATCCTCATTCACCCTATCACACCGGCGGGCAGGATCTGGCCCTCCAAGGCCACGAAAAGCCCAACACAAAGCATCGCACGGAGGAAGCCATCTGCAGCGAGCCGCAACACCCAGGTCACAGATCCTACGAGGCCCCGCGCGCCGTGTTGCCGCGTGCCAGCACCTGGTTTCTTCCCTACAAAGCAACTCCTAGCGCCCACAAGCACCGCGCGCTCCCAGAAGGCTGCCTGCGGGCACTGCTTTCCCAGCCCCGAGTGAATTCGGAGACTTCAGGTTCCCAAGCCAAGCCGAGCCCCTTGGAAAGCAGCCAGATGGCGGGGGCTCTGAGCTTGCTGAAAAGTTGATCCCTCCAAGACCTCCCAAGCTGGGCCCTGAAAACCAGGGGTGGGTTTTGAAGACGCGGGCTGCATGACTAGCGGCAGCAGCCCCGCAAGGGGCTACCGGGTGAGGAATGCTGCGTGCGGGGGTGACGAGGCCTGGGTTCGTCTTTATATTTTTTCCCTGCGCTGATTTAAGGCCGCAAGCAGCTGTTCGCCAAGCCAAGACGGCGCGGTCCTCAGCTGCGCGCCCGCAGCCTTTCTGATAAAGGCCCTTCCGAACAGCTGGGGCAGGGATGAACACAAAGGAGGCAGAGGCCGGGGAGACGCCGTGCAACCCTGGGCGGGTCGCTCCCTTCCCTGTTGCCTCAGTCTCCCCTCCTGTAAAATGGGGGCGGTGATGCCACCCTGTTTTGTGACGTGCAAACACAAAGGCTGCACTGAAGTGCCCATCCCTGGCAGGTCCAGATCATGGCAGCTTAATGCATACAGCCTAGCGGGGGGGGGGGGGGGAAGACGGGCAAAAGGGAACCCCCCACCAGAGTTTAGCAGCTGCATGGTGCTATCATCGGGACGGCCGTGAACCCACTGAGCCCAGATCATAGAAACACAGAAAACAAGCCCCGAGCCGCCCTTACCTGCCGGAGCAAGGCCCCTCCGTCGAGGGAGTCCTGCTGCTGCTGGGCGATGGTGACCCCGAGCACCAGGGTGTGGATGCCGCAGGCCACGGCGCTGATGAGGACGATGGGCGTGAGGCTGAGGGGCAAGGTGATGAAGAAGGAGAAGACGAAGAAGGCCTGCCAGCCCACCGTGTCGCTGGCCTCGTGGAAGCGGGCGAAGTTGAGGCCCAGGTAGCAGAAGATCTGGGCCACGATGAGGAGCCAGAGGACGTAGGGCATGAACTTGCGGGAGACGCGGTCCGGCAAGAGCCGGTACCTGCAGAGGACGAAGAGCAAGACCTGCAGAGCCAGGCCCACCGAGGCCACGAGCGTGGGGGCCAGCTTGTCCGGGGAGTAGACCACGGCGCACATGACGATGACGTAGCAGTCGAAGAGGGCCGCGAAGACCACCAGCACCAGGAGGGTCTCGTGGCGCTGCCGGCGGAAGTAGGTCTGGTAGAGGTTCTCCAGGGACTCGGGGGCGAAGGTGAGGCGCATGAAGCGTGGCAGGCACAGGCAGGAGCCCGAGCTCCTCACCGTCACCTCGTGGGTCCGGCCCACCCCGTGCTCGGGGTCGGAGGGCAGGCTGACCGAGTAGTCCGCCGAGTACTCTGCCGAGTACTCGGGCTCGGAGAAGGCCCTGTTCCTGGGCATCCTGGCCGCTCGTCCCAGCCAACCCGCGGAGAACTGGCACGGCCGCCGGTTAGGGCAACGAGGCTCCGGCGCCCATCTACCTCCCGGCAGCCTTCAGGCGAGCGGGCGCTGGCCACGGCATCCGTCTGCCCCAGCTCAGCCTGCCAGTGGGCCCGTGGCGGTAGCAGAACGGGCGCGTCCTCTGCTTCCCGCGGCGTCCCTCCGCTCTGCCCTGCTCAAAACACAACGTCAAGACAAGCGAGCCCAAAAGGAGGGATCTGGCCGGGGTCCAGGCGGGATCACGAGCTCAGCTCCCTGCCGGCGTTCGGGGACGATCTGGAGGATCCAGCTGCGTGCCTGGACAGCTCGCGGGCCCCTTCCCGGAGTTCGGGGCGACTCCCCCGCCCTCTTCCTCTCCCCGATTTCCTCCGGACGAGCGGTCCCCACCTGCGCAGCGTTCCCCGGCGCCCGAATCGCCCGCCGAGGAAGGATTCGACGGCCAA